AAAAAAAAAAAAAAAAAAAAAAAAAAAAAAGTTAATGATAACTTTCATTTCATTACTGAAGAACTTCTGAGGAACTAATTAATGGAGAAAAGACTTGAATTTTTCTACAGTTTGACTTTATTTTTTTATTTTTTAATGTGTATGGTACTTTTCAGACTGATTTAGATTTCAAAAGAATGGCTATTCTCAAGACTTACTCTGTTTACTTTTAAAAGATCTCTTTAGGTGGAAAAAAAAAAAGTTTCTCATCTGTGCAAAATGTACCTCTGTTAACAGGAGTATTTCCTACCCTTCTAGGGTTTGGCATTGTGCAGTGCGATAGGTAGCGTTTTGCCAACAGTGTGCTGTGTAGGATTCATTGCAGCTTTGCAAATGCCTTTTTAAGAATCTGGATTGGGCTGGCAGATGAGGTATTCTTAGTGCTTTTAATAGCACACATGCAATAGCTTATTTTAAGATAAGTGTTAATAACTTAGTAATTGTGGTTTACATATAGAAATAAATATATATATATATATATATATATATATATATATATACACACAAAAGAAACAAAGAGTACCACTCAGCCCTAACAATGAAATGTTTCCAAAGCTTCCTCTTAGTAACCAGTTAAGTTTTTAGGAAAGATCACAAGGGGGCAGTGTTTTATAGTTTTATACAAAACCACAACTTTTAGCATTCTTTTATTTAAAAAAAAAAAGGGGGGGGGATGGCTTATAAAGCAATCATTTTGACTAAACTGTCAGAGATTGCAATAAATCTAGGGCCTGTTTTAAATTACCAGAGTTCTTACTGAGTTAAGCATCAGTTTTTACAAGAATCCTTATAGATACGTTGATCTGGTTTTAATCTTTGCAGTGAACAAGAAATGTTCATTCATCTCCTTCCATAATCAAAACAGGTTGGTTTTTTCCCCCAGTTTTAACGTCTAGGTCAAAGCTAAAAGGACTACATTTGTTGTTAAATAAAAGATATCTGTGGATTTTGTAGAACTTCACAAATAATTTCTAATTGTATTCTGACAGACACTATTTATTAATAGCCATACAGGTACCTGGTCTCTAATATACTATAGTGTATTAGTATGCTTCCAGATATGAATAAGAATATTCTCTAAGTGGATGCGTTGATTAATCCGCTCTAATTTTTTGCAGAGCGGATATAGGTAAAGTATATATCAGCATGAGTGTGTATGTCTGACATGATTATTGTTCTGTGTGTCGTTGTAGGAGGACTTATATCAAAGTTCTTTGTGCCTGAGGGGGGCAAACATTTTGTGCCTGTTTTGTGAAAAATTTTTTCTTTAAGCCTGTTTTACACTTGTCTTTCCACTGAGTGGTTTAGTTCTTCTAGGAAGGGCAGTTGTTGCTAAACTGATGCAGAAAGTTAATAAACACACACAAGTACATGCTGCTCTCTAAAGTGCCTTATTGACTAGTCTTGATCAGAGCAAAATTTAAATTCTGAAATGGGTCATGTCTTCACCTAGAGAAAAATGGGTAGATACATCAACTTTTGCTGAAAAGCTGGCTGACAAGTCACATCCTTAAAACCAGTGTATTCTTGTTCCTGGTTTAGCTCTTTCCCTGTGTAAAATTGCCACAGAAGTTTGTAATTTGTTTTTTTTGGTTTGGGGTTGGGGTTTGTTGGGGTTTTTTTTGAAAAATAATAATATCAGATTGTTGCCTGTTTAGCTGTCTTTATTCATTATCAGTGTGTAAAATGAACTTAAAAATACGTAGCCTTGGGTGGAGAGGAATAGAGAATTGAAAACTTAGTCCAAGCTACATGCTGTGTTTGGAATTTTTATTACAGCTCATAAAAGTTTTTGATTACACTTTCATAAAATTCATTAGGATCGCTTATGTGCACTAGTTATTGAGTGTAAATTAAGTATGTGTAAGTGATCTGGACATCACAAAATAGGCAAGATTACGGTTGAAAACCGAAACAGAATACATAGAGGTATAAAGAATTAGCTGTGTGATGACTAGCTCTTCTTCACATAACATTGAGTAGATGGTAAAATGGATTGTTCTTTCAAAACTGAATTGTATCTTATCATTAATATATCTTCTAGCATTTTAATAAATAAAAATACAGTAGATGTTAGCTTTAAAGCCCATATAAGTATACAAAGAAGATTGTACTATGTACAAAAGGTTTTATTTTTTTAGCTTCTAGTTTCAGTTGACATTTAGTGATAGCAGATTTTCTGATCAGCAGAATCCTAAGAGACAAATGAACCATACAGTACATGTAATTTATCTGCATTGCTGTAAATTAACAGTAGGGCTTCCAGTTTATTTATACTTTGGTTTTGTTCTTGTTTATTTACTGTTTTTAAATAAATACTGGCTTTTCAGATACATAAAAGGAAAGTGATGAGTTTGTTTTTATGAGAGGGGGTGGGGTTTTTATTCTTTTTAGCAATGCTTTACTTTGTCTTCTGTATATTACTGGCTTGTGAAAACTGTAATCCCAACATGTCCTCAGGAGTTATGCGCTGATATTTTACTCTTAACACCATTTTTCTTCAGGAAGCTTTCAGTACTGTAAAACTGCTGTTGTCTATTTCCAATTGAAGCAGCTTGAATCACCTCAAAATCAAACTAAAACTGGAAACCCTATCCATTACAAAAATACAGATTTGAAAAGAGAAGAAAGCAACTTTAGATTTTTCTTCCCCCCCCCCCCCC